CAGTTTCCGGCCGGGCTTGCCTGAGGCCTTTGTCATTCATGCTGTGGGCTTTGGGGGTCTGAGATCAGGTTCCAGAAGATACTACTACTACTACTACTACTACTACTACTACTACTACTACTACTACTACTACTACTTCTACTACTACTTCCGCTGTTTTTCTGCAGAATAGGGTCTGTACTACCGGGGTGTACAGCATTGTCGATTTGCGAACAATACAGGCCTAAATAGTCGTGGCCCCAACTTCTGTTCGTGTGTGTTGACACAAAAGAGGCCTGTAACGTTCGGAGTTATGGTTGTCGGAATTTGTCGAATGCACGTCCCAGTCGTCGTTGCTCTCACAGAGCCCCGCGGAGCTGGCTGAGCCGTGCTAGGTGGGTGACAACTACAACAACTACTACTAACTACTACTACTACTACTACTACTACCACGACTACTACTCCTACGACGACGACTACTACTACCGTCCTAAGCCATGAGCCAAGCACATAGCTCATCTCCTCGGAGCTTCTCGGGCAGGTCTGTAGTGTTGCTAACCCCAGATCTGCAAGGAATTAGCTTATTTCTATTGCACGATAATATATTACATTGTACTGTGTTATATTGCATTATAAACTATATCAGTGCTGAATCAGCCGCAAGACCTTGGCATTGCTCATCGGAGTCGGGCGATGCCCAAACTGTCCCCTAAGACCGGGTCAGACACCCACACCACAACCTAAGTCCGCGAGCAAGTGCCCCAGCCTTATGTGTTCCGTTGGCCGTGGAGAACAAGAGAAGTGTAATGAGGACCTGACGCCCGACCACCAGCGTCGGATCGGAGCAACCACCTGACAGTCAGCAAGCAAGCTACGGCGCAGGAAATACATGATGAATGAATGACAATGAGTGACTGATTGAATGAACGATCTGAAAATGAGAAATGAAATGAGGCGAAATGATGAAAGGAAGAAAGAAAGAATGAAATAGTGAAATGAAATGGACTGACATGACAAGAAATAAATGAATGAAAGATGAATGAAATGGAACGAATTGAAATGAAAACAGTCGAAGAAAGAATGAATGCCCGAAAGGAAAATGCCAGGCATTAGCGATACGAAAGAAATCAGGGGAGCTAGTGAAGGTATGAGTGATAGCGTGAGTGAATGAATGCATAGGGTGAATGAGTGAATGAATGCATGAATGAATGAATGCTCAATGAATGAACGAACGAATGAATGAAATGATGCAGTGGAGCGGAATAGAACTGGTTAAAATGGAAAAGCGAGTTGGTTGAAATGAAACTAACTGAAAGGAAAGGATATGAATGAAATGAGTTTTCTAAGTGTGCGTGGGTGAGGGAGTGACTGAATGAGTGAATAAGTGAGTGTCTGAATGAGTCAGTGAAAAAGCGCATCAACGTTTGGACTCGGATGGGCTGGAATGACATGCAATGAGATGGGGTTGACAGCAATGACTGAAACCCGAAGAGATTACATGAAGCGAAGACCTGCCAAAATTACTGCTTGGCCGCTGGAAAGCAAACCAATCGAGCCCAATGGCATGCCATGCATCAACATAGCATGAATTCGACTGCGGCTATGAATCGTGGATGGATCGGTTGAGGGCTGTGGTGCTGATGGTGATGACTATAGGACAGCACCCAAACTGCAGGCAGCGGTGTCCCTGCCGCTTTCCGGTAGCTTCGCTCAAGCACCCGACACACCGGAAGCTTGGCAGCAGGGCCCGATGAAGGCTTCACGGCTTTTACGGGTGACGCACCTATGGCATCTAATTATGGTTTTGGGTATAAGCCTCCGGACAAGACTACACGTGTGGAATTCAAAGGCACTCGAAAGGAGCATCGTGAAGTGGGAGGTAAGGCGGAATGTTATGAGACCATACCTAGGAACCGCCCAACTGTGATCTGACTTGGAGCATACGCCACTCCGAAATGAAGGTATGCCTGCTTGGGGTACACTTCTCCGGCTTACATTCGCTCTTTCATGGTCATGGAGCTAGATACTATTTTGGCTTCTTGGTTTGTTCGTTTGGAAAGGTATGAGCCGTGAGTACTTGAAGCGACATTCTGGCAGGATCTGCTCGTCATAGCTTGGACGAAGTGCCCGATTACAGAGAAGAGAGTTCTTGACTCGGTCTGCGACTAGTGACTAGAAGCCTTTATGCCATCCCAAGCCGTCAATGATAAACCTTGGCCCTGAGAACCTGGATCTGGATCCACATAAGTTTACGGCATGTGACTATCGAAAGCAACATGAAACACGCTGATGTGCTTGCTGTTGTTACTGCTCACTTTACAAGATGTCGTCATTAGATGGGGGATAGCCAGTGGTGACATGTCATGCTAGTCATGTCGCTGCCATGGGTTGGGCTCGGGCGAATGCTTCGGAAGATGAAGGTGTGGAGAGCTGCCATGAATACCCCAGCAACACAAGCACCATCATAGCCTCCAGTGCCGTGATTTTTCTGAACAGTCCAGACCATGAAGCTGTGAAAACCGCATCCCCTAAGCCCTAGAGAACCAAAGTGTGGTAGCCGTGCCTGCGATTGTGCGAGTCGAAAGAACCAAAGTGTGGAGACCGAGGGGACGCCGAGTCGGGTGGCCGAGAATGCTGGAGATGCCATCAAAGTCTGCGTCCGGGTGCGGCCTTTGAGCATCTCAGCAGAGCACCGGTTGTTTGGGCTTCAGGCTTTAAGTGAGGTTTGGGAGGCATTTGAGAAGTAGGGTTTTCAAGATTTCGGGCGCCCGCCAAAAAGAGTTAGCCAAAAAAATTCTCTCTCACTCTCCCTCGCTCCCCTCTCTCTCTTTTCTCTCTTTTCTCTCTTTATCTCTCTCTCTGTCTCTCTCTCGCTCTCTCTCTCTCTCTCTCTCTCTCTGTGTCTCTCTGTCTCTGTGTTTCTCGCTCTCTCTCTCTCTCTGTTCTCTCCCTCTCTCTCTCTCTCTCTCTCTCTCTCTCTCTCTCTCTCTCTCAGTCTCTCTTTGTCTCTGACTCTGTTTCGCTTCTGCCCCCGCCCTTCGCGCTTCCTCTGTGCTCAAAGGGTCTACCGCCTTTGCCAAACCTCTGGCTTGTCTTGGTTCTCAACAGAAGCGGCCACAAAAAGCTGATCCCAGGTAAGTCGGAGCTCCTTGGCATTCGAGTTGCGCATGGTTGGTAGTTTGGGCTTGTTGCGGGACTTGTCCCAACCGCCCTTCCCGAATCCAATCTGGAGTTGTCGTGTCCTGCGGAGTCTTTGAAGCATCCCCGCCCCGGTCATTGCATCGAGATTCAGGCTGGACAGTGGCGAGAAGATGTGGCTTAGCTACGTTTATCTCGGTGGTTGAAGGTCTCCTTTGGTATACAAGGTTTGAGTTCAGGGTGCGTAGTGAAGCGTGCAGTTTTCAGCCTGGTCCGGGCTTTCAAGTCATCTTTGCTCAGGTGTGTCAGGATCTTGCCGCAGCAGCCATACTCGACCACGGCCCCTTGCCCGTATAGCAAATATTGGTGGGTCTTCTTGCGAGGCTCTTTAGATGGATGTTGATGTATCTTGTTATACATACACACACATATATGTATAATTATGTTATGTTTACACAAATGTATAAATATGTATATATATATATACATAGATGTATGTACAGACATATGTATATATATATATACAGTATGTACACACATATCACCAGCCCAAGGTGAATTTGACAAATCCGTCGGACACCGGCCAAGCTGCGACGAGGGCTTACTACTTCGACCGAGCGTACTGGCATCTTGTCTGCCTTCGTTTAGAGTTTCAGGTTTGCCTGCCTTCGTTTCAACCGCGCGAACCACCATCCGCCGCCCGCTGCGCTTCTCTACACACTCCTCGCGTTTAGCAGGTACCAGAAGGGTTCTGTACATTGAACCCGGATGTCATCACTAGTGTTAGCAGCATTCCCGCTCTCGCTTCTGCTGACTCTCCGCACTGTAGCTGCAACGCCGGTCTACTGTATGTCAGTTACTGGCCACACAAAAGCCATGATCGTGCAGAGCAGCGGTTCTTGTTTGCTCCGTGGTTTCTGACAGACTTCATACGGCACGGAGACAGAGGCAGAGAAGTAGGTGGAACCAGCCTATATTGGAGCCTGTCCGGCACCTCTCTCACATGAGTTTAGCTGCATGTTGAAAGCAGTGAAGCAATCGTAGTACTCCCACTGATGCGGCCGGTAGCACAAGCCTTTCTGAAAACAATCTCTGTAAGAAATGGTGGAGCATGCACTGAGCCAATCGCCCCACACCCGACTTCCTTTGGATTCGGATTCAGTCGATTCAGTACTGACTCTGGCCGCTCCGTGCTTAGCAAGGTCTGCCAAAGAATCAGATCCTCACTATGTCTCCCAGGCCGGCCTGAAGTGAGGGCAGGAATGTATATACATGTATAATATATATATATATATATATATATTTATTTATTTATTTATACATACATACACACACACACACATATATATATATATATATATATATATATATCATTTGGGATGCTGGACCTCATTTACGTAGCCTGATCTCTGCTATAGGAGCACCTGATGGACGACCTGGGGCATGAGTTGCGAAGCAACGTGTCGCTTGACTGCAAGTGGTACGCACCCGTCCGGTTTTCAGCGGAACTTGGCTCTTCCGAACAAAGGCTGGATGGTTACAACAGCTGCCTCTTTGCCTATGGTCAAACAGGCGGGGACTACGACCATGCTGAGACAACCACCCAGGCCTACACAGGCAGAAGATATCAAGTGTCTCAGCCTCGTAAGAAGCCCTATTCTCCCCTAAGTGCCAAAGCTTCTCAAGGAGCTTGTGGCAGCATCAATTGAACCGACCATGCTGCAACGAGAATGCTTGCACCGACAAAAAGTTCCTTCGGAGAACCCGTGTTGGAAGCTTTTTCAGCCCAGGCGCATAGAGTCATAGAGCCTGAGACTTAGACACTGCAACATGTAGCCATTTTGGCTCTGGCTCTGCGGCCTCTTTCCCTGGTCACTAGGCAGATGGCATCGTCGGGGTCGCAGGCCAAGAAGGCTTGGTCCTTCATCCGCGACCAGCCCAGAGGCGCCTCTTTCGCAGTCGTCCGTAGACACTCATTCAGACACGAAGCGCCACGTCCATGTCCTGGGCCGCCCAGTCGAGTCCATCTCTTCGTGCCCTTCAAGACAGGCAACCACATTGGACGCGCACCCGGCGTTGTCCATTCCCATGCTACAGACGATGTTCGTGGCCTTGAGCACGGCCGTCCCAGCATGGAGTTCGAAGATGCCATCTTCAATCGCTATGCTTTCCACAAGCTCAAGGAGAAAGAGGCCACCCGTGGAAAAGGAGATCCTAGTCGTCCTCGTCGTCCCACTACGGCGGACAAAGGCACAGCTAGCTCAGGCCCGGATTCTGTCCCAGGTGCACATGCAGACGGAGGATGTGACCCCGAGGGCGATGCATCGACGATGCCCAAGGAGTCCCAAGTCGATGTCAACGGAGGCGGCCCAGGCAGCTAACAAGCACAACGACCGATACGTATGAAACAGTGTCAGACGGGATTCCAGCGACTTCATACGTCGCGGGCGCCGAGGAGTTCACGATGTGTCGTCGGAATCAGACTAGACGTACCCCGGCCAGAACTCCACCCCGGGACTCTCGGTCTCTGCAGTCTTGCCCTGGAAGCCGGCTTCTGCCAGCAGAACATGCTTTCATCAGGGACCAGGAAGAAGCCTTTTTAAGTTGAAGTGGTTCGTTAGCCGCTGCATAGCAGCCGCCTGACGGCCGGCCAGCCGACCTTTGTGTTCTGTGTGCTAGGCTCATCACCTGATTTTGTGCACGTGTCATGTCTTACTGAAGATAATGTGACGAGACGTGGCATGCTGTCACTTGCCCGCACGGTATGGATGAGAGGGAGATGCGTAGTGTTCTTAGAGGGTAGTTGAAGTGCCTTGGATTTGGATTGTCTGGAAGTCCTTCTCGGCATATGCTGTGGAACTGCTGTGGGAGCAATCGGTTCCGTAATTCTAAGGATGGTTGCCCCTGAGTTGTGTGAAAATTGCTTCCACGGGTGCAGGCAGGGGTCAGTCCCGGCCCGATTGCTACTGATCTTTCCGACTACAGTAGAAGCCAGAAAGTTGGAATATCATTATCCTAACCCCTTTATGGTAAATTATAGGGTGTCCTACCCTGAAACCATATTCCAACTTTCTGGAGTTCCCTATAAGCAGGAGGAAAAGGGGCGGTGAAAACAAGCTGAACTCGAGAGTTTGTGCTTCTGCTCGCAGCTGACAGGCCGCAATTTCCCCTTGTAGCGGAGGAGGGTATTCCCTTAAGGCCTTAAGGGTCCAAGTACCTAGTAATCATATACTCTCCAAAGTCCTAACCTACATAACTACTACCCCAAAACCGAGTACCTAGTTATTGGGTCCTTTGGATTCCCTTGGGGTTCTGCTCATTATGCAGAAGGCTTCTCGTGGTGCTTGGGGGTAATCTTGGACTTTGGACCGAGGATGGCCGAGGAGCTTGGGGTTCCTCCTACACCATCCTCTCGTTTTTATGCGAGATCTTGTGTATGCAATACAGGGGCTTTAATTACCTATACTACTGTAGGGTACCTTATGAGAACTATAGTATAATGGGCTCCAAAAGCCTACTCTAATTATTAAGGCCCTTATCTTATCTCTTCGCACTTGATTCTTATGCAGTACTTCTCTTGCATGGTTTTCTTACCCGGTTGAAACGCTGACCCGGAACTTAAACCGCAAGGGATAAGACTTGAAAAGTGTGTTTGTTTGTTGTCGGTCCTATTCACAGTTGGAATCAACATAAGATTCGGTTGTAAGAACAAAGCCGCTGCGTCAACACATAGGTTTCACATCCAAGGGACTGAGCACACCAGAACTTTCTCTCCTGGCATGTCCTAGCGAAAGCACCACATCTCGTAAACCCTTTAACGAGAAATCCTTGAGCCCTCAAGCCCTAAATCCTTAAGCCCTAAACTCCCCTTAGAGCGTTTCACTTCGTCAGACTCTGAACCATATGCCTCGCCTGGATTGTCCGAGTGTGAGCGCCGAAACCCTCATTAAGCAGTGTTTGCCCCGTGCGAGTGTGCGAGTCCAAACCCTAAATCCCTAAGAAGCCTCGGGCTTCTGTGAGGCAGCGGGAAGACCTACAGCGTTTTGGGAAGCGAAAGCCCCCCGGAGTGCCGGGGGCTGTTGCCGCGCATCGTGGAGGCCACACGTTTCCGCTTTGGGCTTAGGCTTCAGGGTTTAAGGTTTCTGGTTTCAAAAAGGTTTGGGTTTTGGGGCTGTGAGGTTTGGGCGTTTGGGGCTTAGGCTTCAGGGTTTCGGGGTTTAGATTTAGAGCTTGAGGTTATGCCGTTTGTCAGGGTTTCGTTGCTGGTGAGTTTTCCGGGCACTGGGCAAAGGTAGCTGACTTTCCTCTTCACGGGTTGGACAGATTCCGTGGAGGATATCTTCAAGATCATTGAGAAGTCTCCGAATGAGTTTGCCACAACGATCTCCTATCTGGAGACCGGGGCTCAGTCGGCTGGAGGGCCTTAGACTTATGAAGGCAAAACAAAAAGAAAACGAGAGTTTCAGACAGTGATTGTGCTTGATATCTTCAGACGTATCACGCAAAGCTTGGGGTTCAACGACGTGCGCTTCAGGCAGAAAGGGTTCGGACTCGACTGACCCTCGAAGATGTATTTGTGGTCAACCTTTTGATGTTCCAAGAGTCTACAAAGCCAAAACGCACCTCCCGAAGTCGAATAACTTGAGCCGGCCGTTTGAACCCCACAGACCTGAGCTTACGATGTGGCAGATGGGAGAGTCTTACCCCTTCCATCCTCTCCGGTACGGGGGGAGAGTGAAAGTCGCAGCCCTTTCCCCAAAGTCCGAAAGCTTAAACTCCCAAAATTGCAAATCCGTCAGCTCCAAGCCCTAAACTCTAGACCCTAAACAAAAACCCTGTTGATGCCTCGCCTGGATTGTCCGAGTGTGAGCGCCGAAGCCCCTAAATCCTGAACCCTGAACCCCTAAACCCTAAACCCCAAGCCCAGGATCTACAACGAGAAGATTCGCGACCTCCTCCGATCCGGCCAAGAGCAGCAGCTGCGACTCGAGGTGCGACCCCTCCAGGTTGCGAAGGGCTCAATCCAATAGAAAATGTTGAACACAAGTGTATATTATACATAAATATAGACCAGTATATCATAGTATGTTTATAAACATACAAAAGTATTTATAAGTATGTTGTTGTATATGATCGTATCTTATTGGCAAAGGCCGCCCACGTTTGTTTTTCCATCAGGGTCGGGGCACAGGATGTGTAGGTCTATGTGTGTATCGTACATGTCTCTCTGCCCATATATATATATACACAGCATACCAGCTGCAATACATGATCAAGTGGTCTTATCGCCTTATGCTGCCCGCATAGAACGCCATCGTGCGTGTCGACGCTTTGTTACTTCATGCCTACAATCCCTGAAGCCCAACTTCTGAAGCTAGTGTGCTCTAAACTGGTTTCTGTGTCTGTCGTTGCAGGTCCGAGCCAACCCAAAGTACGGAAACTTCGTGCAACTTGGCCGTGAGAGGTGGCCTTGTTTCAGAGGTGAACACGAGGGTCTTTCGTGTTAGCACCGGGAGGAGTATATGATTCCTTGATTTGGGACTGCAAGGAAATACAGTCCAAAACTATTAAAACTTCGGTAGTATGCATGTTTGCAATGCCTGGCGAGACAAGGCCCGAGAGGAGGAGTCAAACTTTGGAGACAAGTTGCTCATCATATCACGGAAGCACACGCATGTTCGATTCATGGAAGAAGCAGGCCTGAAACATTCTGAAGCCATTGCTGTCTCAGGTATGGACTGAAGGAAGTCCCTGTCATGGCAACTTGGAGTGCTTGTGGGACTACGGCTGTTTGATTGGGTGATGTGGTCACTTTTTGGTGCATGCATTGGGATAAGATTCTGCTGTGCTTTCACGTAGCCTCGCTGGGAAGCTGGACTGCATCGCGAGATTGCTGAGAATCTGGGAATCATGTTTTAAGATGTTACAGGTATTGTCAAGCAATTCTGCTCTCTTCCTCCCCCTGTGTATGGCAGCCTGCCCTAAACCTGTCTGAATGTCAGCGCCGAAACCCTATAAAAGCCCTAAAATCAAACGGGGAGCTGAGGATTGGCAGAACCTGAAGCAGTGGCTTGACTTTGGCGTGAAGGCCCGGGCCGTGGCCAGCACTTCCATGAACGCACCTTGGCTTACTCAAAGAGGTCATGATGGGATGAATGGGATGTCCCAACCTTTCGGTTTCGGTTTAGGTGCCTCTTTGGTCCCCAGGGGGAGTCCAACTTGACAGCGGAAGCTCGAAAGCTGCTGCTTTAGCATATCCTGACGCTTCCTTGCGAATTGGCGGCTTCGTTAAAGTTTGTCATCCCAGGCTACCTCTAGCCGGTCTCACTGCATCTTCAGCATGGAGGCCAAGCACATGTACCGTTTCCGAACGAACATGTACCGTTTCTGTTTCATTGTTGCCTGCAGCTCTTATTACTATTATTACTATTATTATTATTATTATTGATATTGTTATTATTATTATCATTATTATTAATAGCCTGCAGCATTGTGTTCGGTTCCTCTCCTTGCGAGGGCTGGTCCTGGGCTTCCAAAGTGTCCCTTCCGACTCCCGACTCCCGGACACATTGACCGCCAGGTCGTGCACAAGATGCGATCAGGTGGAGCCCGCACGCAGCTCCGGTCCAAGGTGCGGGGTTGCTGCTGCTGCTGCTGCTGCTGCTGCTGCTATGACGACGACTGTATCACTACGACTTCCAGTGCCACCACCACCGCCAGACGCACTACCACTGCTACTACTGCTGCCGCTGCGATTGCCTAGTGCTACTGCGACACTGCTTCTGCTACTGCTACAGCGACGGCTACTGAGATGGCCGCTGCTACCACTTCCGCTCGTGGTTGCGACTGCTGCTTCTGTTGAGTCTCTGTTGCCAGTAGTCTGCTTCTTCTTTCTTTTTTTCTTCTTGTCGTCACTCGTTCGGTGGTTACAGTTATGACAGTTGTGATCTTCGTGACAGACTTTATGGAACGCTGCGAAAGATCACACTGAGCCTCGCGAGCACAACATGTGTTTGAGCCTGCATTGCAGTTGAACTTGGTGGATCTTGCCGGGTCCGAGCGGCAGAAGAAGACCCAAGCTACCGGTACTAGACTCAAGGAGGGAGTGCGGCTCTCAGCTTGCTTCAGCTGAGAAAATTATGGTTCAAGCTGTGGGGGGGGATGGGAGAGGGGAGATTGAGCATGCTTTTGAGATGCTTCCGGGCCTATGAAACACAGAAGGCACCCTGCAAGAGCATTGCATCTGACGTGCTAGCTGGGGCCTTTGCTCTCGAAGTCTTTGTTTTAGGCACTTGGCTGAAATGGAAGGGATACATCTTTTGTGGTCGCCATGATGTGCAAGTGGTTGTATTCCCGAGGCCATGATCAATCAGAGCTTGTC